GGGTGTAATTTTTGCACATTTACTTCTATCTTCTTGATTTTATGGAAAACATAGTCCAAACACTCCTATTTTCATAATGTTGCAATGATTAACAAATACAAATATGGTTCTATTTACTGACAATTTATTTCAATCAGATGCTTCAATTAAAATGCTGTAATTCAGCAAGCTGTGTATAACTTGCAGGGGCCATTTGAGTGCATTGTAAAGTAACATAAAATTACTAATGTTGTGCAACGAAGATAATATTAATTAGTCCATTGAGTTAATCTTCATAATTGAACTTTGGTGACATGACATACTAATGTTTATAATAAGTGGTCGTAGACACTGCTCTTTAAATACATTGCGATCACACGTTCTTTAAACAAAATAATTTTATATGTGAACTCATAAAATTTTACTACTTTTAATTATATATTTTTCAAAAAATCATTTTTCTGTTTGGTGGGGATTAAAATTTGTAGAATTTTGATAGAAGTTGATGAAACGTGTGGTTGAAAAGTTGTGAAACCCGTAAAATATATGATAAAATTAATTGTTGATTTTGATTGAAATTAAATTTTAATTAGTATCAAACATGGGCTAAAAGAATTGGGACCAAATATTCGATATTTTTCATTATGCAATTTGTTTTCTTGTGATAAAATTACTATCATCTATCTACAATATATGGGGATGGTGGAGAAACTTTTAACTACCAAATTTACCCCTACATATTTAACTATATGTCCACTATGTCCAAATTGAGGTTAAAAAATTGAAAGGTTGCATTATTATATTAATGAGGTTACAAATATGTTAAAGTAAATAACTGCTAATTATTAGGGTTTTTAAGATTAGCAATAATCCTTTCTTTTGGGGTGTAGATATCGGTAAGATATGAAGGCTCATGCGTGGCAAAAAATAATTAAAATGTGTGAGTCCAACTTTACATTAATGCAAACAAAGGTTAGACGTATTTTGATTAACAAAGTAATATTATTTATTAACTTTGGTAATTAGATAGCATAGTTATATTTTAATTAAATATTTTTTAAAAAAATTGGCCAAATAAGGATTTAATATGAAAGTTATTATGACCATTATAGCTAACAAAACCAACCAACCTTTCTCATTCTACCCCCATTCCATTATATCTATAAAACCAACCTTGCTCATTCTATTCTATGCTCAAAATTTAAAAGTAAAAATCATCAGCACAAAAGGGTAAGAACTGTTGTTTATACAAGCAATTTTTCTTATGCTAGAGTTTCTCAAAATCTATTTCTAAGTTGATGATCATTGTGAAGTTTTCCCTTATTTTTTTTGGCTTATCATTTATCTTGATTTACATTTCAAATTGATTTCTAATATCATGGATTTAATTGTATCACTAACTTTTAAATTTTGAATGGTGGCAACTTCCCAGATGAATACATCATAGTCGAAATCACTAACAGAAATGAGGTTTGATTCATCAATAAATCAACAAAGTAAGTCAGGTCATCAATTTAAAAGAAGTTTTTACAATAATTAACCAAGCCTTACTAATTTATCCGACTTCTATTAATATAACCTCCAATATATGTTTCTCTTCTAATAATAATGTTTTTGCCAGAAGAAAGAGAAAAGTAGATACTACAGAAATTTGGTGCTAATTGAAGATAAAGAATACAAGTTTTTGGTGAAGATGGACAAGAAGGGTCAAAGCGATAGGGCTCAGAAGCAAATTGTGGTGCAAGAAGTATACAAAACCGTCAATGGAGGAAAGAAAATAGAGGAAGTCCGAAGCCATCACTTGGATAAGAAAATGAAGCTAGAAAAGTAGTTCATTTACTGTCTATTATGCAAAAGTCAATGTTAATCCATATCTATTTTCCTATTATATATCCCTTAATGTTATTGTTAAGAAGGAATGAATGTACTTAATTTTCTCTAAATCTTTCGTTTATGCCAAAATAAAAGTGATTGGATTGAAATTTGAATACCGATTTTTACCCTTACATATTTAATTATATTATTATTACCGTATCAAAATTTTAAAAGGACGTAAAAAAACTAATTTACTAAAAATTAAATGAGGAAGTTTAGAAATCATATATATGCCGGTAAGTAAGAAGTAAGGACATTTATTGCAATTATGCAAATATATGTCCAATATACCCTCATTTGAATACCACCTTTAATTAAGTAAAAATAAAAAATCTCCTACACAATGGTACTAATGTATTTCACACGCATGCATCATGTCCTTTGCACTTCCCAACTAATGATGGATGTAATGAAAACAATCTTTCAAATTCTATTTTCCTCTTCTATATATTTTTCGTACAAATAGTATAGTTAAAATAATCTACATCTACAATATAATTAAAGTTGGGGATTGAGTTTCTAACTAAGAACCTATTTTGCATAATTTGAATTTTTCTCCCAGTTGTAGATCGATGTTTGTATATACAAAAGGAATATGCTAATTCCTAAGGGAGACATGGGGATGGAAGTTACAAATATGTTAAGGCACATAACTTCGAATTATTAAGGTTTCTATGATTTCCAACAATCCTTTCTATTTTCAATCACCTTTGCCCTCACCGTGAATAAGTGGGAACATTCAATTGACTATTTGTTCTTAAAATTTTTATTTTGATCAACAAAGCCCTTATTAATCTTCATAATGTACATTATAATTCATGCATTGAGTTATTATTTAATTGTTATTTATCATTTCAATCAAACGGACCCTAAGAACAAGTCATAAGGAAAAAGAATTATCAAAAGCAAGAGAAATGAATATGATAAATGTAGAGATCTATTTTGATTGATGGCAGCATCAAACAGGTTTGGATGTGCATCACAAATAAATTACTATTCCCTTATAAAGCAAAAAGATTCAATTTTTCATTCAATTCAGTTTCTAACTAAGAACTTATTTTGCATAATTTGAGTTTTCCCCCCTTTTGTAGATTGGTATTATTTATTATTTCGATGGGCTGCGACTTTTTCGAAGATTGAAATCCTAAAATAAATGTATTATTACTACCCTATATGCCCAATATATCCTCATAATTGGAATACCAATTTAATTAATATTTATCATTTGGTTTGAAATTAATTATCTCGATTCATGAGATAACACCAATCCTTTGAGTAGAAGAAAAAATAGCGAAACTTTGTGGAGAATCTTGGAGTTTTTTATTAAGAAATAATAGGTTTATTATTGGGTTGTCTTAGATCTTGGGGCGAATTCTCCATATTGAACCAATATCGATTTAATATTATTTAAGAGTGCCCTTAATCTCTATTGTTATTAATAACATTAATAAAAGATATACTGACAATTTACTTAAATCATAACTCTACCAATCCTATAATAAGAAAATCCAAAACTGAAATTCTTTGAAGTGACCGAAGGATTTTTCCTATACTTTCTTAGTGGGGTTTTGAAGAATTGAGAAATATGGAAAAGAAGCTGAAGATTTTTCATATGTTTGGTGAGTTCTTGCTACTTAATTTCTTACTTTGCTATATTATTAATTACTTTGTTGATGTTTTTGTTGACTTTGACACTTTTTGGATAAAAAAATCTTGAACCCAATTAAATATTGAATATCTAAACATTTGTCACAGAAAATATATTCATCTTTACCCGAAACACAACAAAAATATTATCTTTAATTCATTATTTTTCTAAATACCCTTTTGAAATAGGATATATGAAAGCAATATGAGATGGTGTCTATTACACTAAAATTCATATTTTTCCCTTTGTTTTTGCCAAAAGATTGAGAGGAAAAATCTTAAAAATACTTAGAATCAAAGATGGATAAGCTCTTTATAATCCAAGAAAGAGAAGTTTATGTACGAGCATGCAAATAAAAATAATATTTATTTTCTTTTTTGACTTCGAGCATGTTTGATTAAGTATGAGTAAAGATCACCTTGAAATAATTTTTAAATTCCAAATAAATTTGATTGTATAAATTTTAATAAAATCTTTTTTTTATTTATTTGCAAATTAACTCTTACATTCCTATTTGAAGCCCCTGTTTGTCTTTCATTAAATCAAAACTCTTTTTTTTTCTCAAACTTATTTTCAACTTAAATCCAAATATTTGTCTTGCTTTTGAACCAAAAATATTCATGAAAAATAACGACTTCAAGACTCATTTTTTTTTCAATTTTTTTTTTTTTTAAATTTTATGGCAGACAAATAGAGTCTGAATAACAATCTTATTTGTTTTCAACTTTAAAACTTAAGTCACTAAAAACTATTTATTTATAATTATAAAGTAATTTCATCCATAAGTATATCTTTCTACTTGATCAACAATGCCCTTTATCTCACTACTCTATTAAAAGAGAGGATGGCCAAATACTGTTCATTTTTGTACCCTCTATTTCACACTTAAACTGGTTGTTGAGTGTTCATTATCCGGTTTCGCTACAGTCTATGACTTATTGATATTTACGCTGTGGATTTTCTATTGATAGCCACAATTGTTGACTGTGTTTCTTCTCAATT